GAGGTTCTTGTAGACGACGCCAACCTTCTTGGCTGATTGGCCATTCTTGCGCTTCTCAAAGTGACCTTCTCGCATGAATTGGCCAAGTTCAAAGTCTTCTTCCTTTTCGCTGGCGAGGGCGCCTCCAATGTCACCGGGCTTGTCGTCTTCCGCGTCGCCTGTGTCTTCCTCGGCGCGTGAAACCGACCCTCGACGTTGGGTTTGTCGAGTACTGATCCTACTAACAGTCCGGGACAAAGCATCTGATCGACGTGATTGGGCTCCGCGTGATCGTGACCTGGACAGTGAGGCAAGTTCTCCTCGGAGCACCTCGAGATCTTCTGCTGCAGTCTTTGAGTCGAGCTTTCCAGCGTCGCGTTCGCCCCATGTTCCCGCCCGTTCAAGACGCTCACTATCGGGACTCTCGTCGCCTTGGCTACCGGGAGTTACTGCTTCTTCTCTCCCACTGCGAAGATAATCGTCGTCATGCCATGGGTTACGACGATTATCTCGTTCCGAAGGCGGAATGGAAGATCCCCACATCTTCAAGCTTATAATGAGAGGAATTGGGTATCAAACCGCTTGCTCGAATGAAGGTGAAAAAAAAAGAGGTGCAACGATGTCGTCAAAGTGACTGATTGGAGGCGTGGTCATAAGTAGACTTGTAGATGAGTGCTGACAAAACGGTGTACACTGCAGGAGCAATGTTGACCAAAGAAGATATGTGCCCAGCCTAGGCATCTCTGACCAAAATTTCCGCATTAGACAGCAGGAGGCAACGGAGATAAGCAAGCCATGTCGTCATGCGCAGATTGGCTCAATGATTAACGTGCCTTGCCGAGGAGCTAAATTGCGAGGTGCACCCACTCTTCTCACCGACCTCGCACGCAATCCAAACGTTGGAGGTCCAACTTTTTCTTGCATTACTAATTCACTTCACCGCTGTAGGCAAAAAAGGATACTGAATATTCCCCACCAAGGAAGGTCTCCCTGCATATTTGGAGTAGACGCGAGTCACTCCCCACCCGTATAATGTGGGCCGACTGGTAAAACTGACAAATATGCCTGACCTGGCATGACGGCTGTATATTCGAAATGTGGGATTTACGGTACCCCTCCATGTAGCCCCGAGCCGATGTTTCTAGAGTACTCTGCAGTATATACACACATACATGGCCTTGCATGCATCCTCGCATGGAACGACCCATCCGCGGACTAAGCCTAGGATGTCGATCTTGCCAAGACTAGTAACAGCGTTGTCTTAAGTCCGACACCCGTAGGTGTACGGATATCAGCGTGCTGCTCGGTTGTATCTCCGTATCGCCTATAAGTAAATATGCATGCCTATCAACTTGGCATTCTGCTCTGAAAAGTGTCCGCTGCAAAGTAATCAAGCACAAGTGTATTGCCGCGGCAACTCACAAAGACTCGCATCATGTGATTTGTAATCAATCATGCAATAGAGATAATATTCTACCTTAAGGGGTATTCGCATCTGAATGTAATCATCGGGGTGTACGTGTTGGCTTCGATCATCATCCTCCTAATCGAAATTCTGTTCAGTTTACGGCTTCTTCTCGATGAGCTGAGGGATATCCTCAGGCTTGTTCTTGCCCTCGAGAATGTTGTAGACTGCGGTGAACAGGGGAAAGTCGTCCTCCATGCCCTGGGCCTTCAAGAACTCATTAACCTCGTAGGCAGTGCTGGTACCCTGCAGCTTCTGCCCATTAAGCTCCGTCTGCTCAATCTCGTCAATGGGCTTGCCGCGCTGGACAGCCATTTTTGCGCAACGAAAGTTTCGCCCACCCATGCACGATGTCACAACATCAGCAACACCGCAGCTTTCCTCTGTGAATGTGCTGGTGCGTGCGCTCTCTCCGAAAAAGGCCTTGCCGAACCTGACCATCTCCAGGATGCCAACACGCATGACAGCAGCTTTGGCGTTGTCACCCCATCCCAGACCGTCCACAAAGCCCGCTGCAAGAGCGATGATGTTCTTCAGAGCGCCACCGAGAGACACACCCGCAACATCGTTGACAATGTGTACATGGAAATAAGGGCGGTGGAAGAGCTTGCGGACGTTTTCGTGCGACAGAGGCGGGTACTCGTTGGGAAGAGCAGTCAGATGGGCAGAGCGCTTGCTGGGCTTTGACTTGCTAGGGTCAATCAGGTCGACGTGAGCAGTCAGGTCAACCTGAGAAGCATTGGGTGAGCCACTTGGGGTGGGATGGCGCGAGTCTAGCGGCGGCGGGTCGTATGCCACCGTAGTCTCAGAGTACTTCTCCTGAGCAATTTCAGAGGCAATGTTCGCACCCGACAAAGCACCGCAGTAGATGTTGAGCGTCATACCAATAGTCTCCGACATCAAGCGAATGCCTTTCTCGCTAACATCTACACCCTTTGTGCAGCAGATGGCTCGCGCATATGGGAGAATCTTTCCGACCAGTTGCTGGCATGAACGTGCGATGAATTGATGGGGTAGCACAAAGATGAGTATCGTCGAGTCCTTGCACGAGGCGGGGAGATCGGGGTTGGCAATGACGTTGGGTGGGAGCGTGATGTTTGGGAGGTACTTGACGTTCTCATGGACCCTGTTGATAAGCTGGGAAAGCTTCTCAGGCTGATCTGAGCCGTTGTAGTGACGCGAATCCTTTGGGATTGTGTACTCTTCCTCAAACACCCACATCTGCACTGTTTCTTCAAACAGTGAGGGGTTCTCCTTGACGTTCTCGGCGACTAGTTTAGCCATGGTGGTACCCCTATACCATCAGTCAGTCAATGCCCCCCGCTATCGAGTCATCTTGCATAGCTTCAAAGCACAGCTAAGCACTTCCACATGCTAAGTACGTACCAGTTGCCGGAACCGACCACCGTGACTTTGTGCTTGCGACCAACACCGAGGGATGCCATTTTTGTGTATTCGCGTCTCACTTGGTGCAGAAGGTGTTTGTGTAAGACGCTATCTGGTACGACTGTGCGTTTATATGGGATTTGCAGACAACGAGGAGTGACGTGGAGAGGCAAGCGCGAGGCAAGCGATAATGGCTTCCCAAATTTGCAAAGGGCCACTTTTGCGGGTTCCTATGATGTCTTTGCACAGTCAGTATGAAAAAGAAGACAAATTTTCAGCCGCACAGCAGCTTAAATATCACAAGAGCATACGAGCTGGGGCGATAACAGGCAGACTGACCTCGGCAGCTTGTGATGCGGCGTTGCCGAAAGCTTCAATTGCTATGGCCCAAGTCCCCCAGGCTGGCGGTCAGGGCGTTTTTGGCAGTGGAACTGGACTTGGCAACAAGTCGTCGAGCGAGGGTATGAATCTGCTTAAACGGATGCGGATGTTGACGGGCTAGAGAGAAAAGCGGTAGCTTTGCGTCATGGGATCTGCAGCGTCGGACCTGCGGCGTTTGCTGATCAGCAGAATATGCATGGCCAACGACCAATTGCATGTGAGCAGAGACAGCCAACTAACAACAAAGTCCCGACAACAAGCATCACCAGACAGCATACGAGAGCACAGGGCACACAGTGTAAAAGTAGCAGTATTGGTAGTATTGGGTATTACAAGTCGTGTGTTGCTTCATAACATCGCATTAAGTATCCTCCGAGCGACCGCAACCACCATCAGCAGTGATGAACAAGAAAATGCACAAAGATAAACAGCCAAAGCCATAAAACGCCAACGCTAACACGCTGACGAAGATGAACCTTCTTCAGCGAATGTCCCCACATGGTTATGCTGATAGCAGTAACGCAAGGCCATCTCGTCACCGTCCAACAGGGACCGGCCCGCGACCCTTTTAGTGTCCTGTTGTTGATTTACAAGGCCATTCCGAAGAGGGCAAAGAGGCCACCGGCGAGAGCAGTGGTGCCGTACAAGGCAAGGTTGGCAGCAGCGGCAGGGGAAGGGGTGCTGGAGGCAGCGCCGCCGGAGGGAGAAGATCCAGTCGAGGCGGGCGAGCCGCTGCTGGTGGCAGAAGGGCTCGACGAGGCGGACGAGGAACCGGAACCAGAGCCAGAGTTACCGGCTTCGGTAGCCTGCTCGATGGTCTTGTTGCCGCACAGGCTGTTGCGAGCCTGTTCGCACTCGAATTGAGCAGTCGCGTCAGTGCCAGAGGCAGAGATACAGTTGCTGTACCAGACAAGGCACATCTGGCCGGGGACAGTCTGCTGGTACTGGTCCATGACGCTGCTGACATCGGTACCGTTGCGGCACTTGCAAGAGAACTCGAGAGTGGACTGCACGCGTGTTAGCATTTGGTAGGCGCATGGCGGGACACGCGACATACAGAATCGCACTGGTTGCCGTTGCTGGCAAGCGAGCCGCGACCGCCGCAAAGCTCAACACAGGTGTTTTGGTTGGCCTGGCACCATGACTGCCTGTCGTCCTGGTCGACCGAGTTGGCGGGAACGGTGCAGCACTGGATGGGGGTGTTGAAGGTGCTGTTTTGCGCGGACACGAGGCCGGCAAGAGCCGAGGCGGCGGCGATGAAGGTGGAAGAGCGCATCTTTGTGGATGGGAGCAAGAATATCAATGCCTAAGATTGAGCGGCGTCAGCGGATAGCCGGCAGAGGGATAGGAGTGAATCGGGTAGGATGGGGCAGCAATGTACAGCAGCAATTGCGCGTGGAATGCGTGCGGGTGGTATTACTGGAGGCTGGTGGCGACAGGGAGGAGACTTACAGCGGGATGTATGATGCTGATTTGGTGGAGCGGATAACAGAGGCGGGTGTTGTTGCTGGGGGGAGCAGGAATATATGCTCCAACGCACGGGCTGGAGGAAGACGGCTAGTCGGCCGTGCTTGCCTACTACAAGCTAGGGCCATTGTTTTCAAGATACGCTCAGACGCGGCGGAAAGTCGACCTGGGCATCTTTCGCCAGTTGCCCTTTTGCGCGCCAGGAAATTGCTCATTTAGTACACACACATGGGGGGGGGGAAGGGGAATTGGGGCCCTTGCCGGCTGCCCTCGCCCTCGCCCTCGCCCTCGACGCTCCGCTGCTGTCCGTTGTCAGTACTTATTAGCCATCGTCGTGAGGCAGACGGCGGTTTTGCGCGTCCGACACGGTGACGACGTGTGTACTACACGGCGGCGTTGGTTTCAGGTGTAGCCAGTCGCCAAACCCGCCACGCTTCGGATATGCGCCTGCAGGTTGGACCAAGGCCACCCCGCCCAACCGTCGGCGTCTGCCACTGTCAAGTAACTTAGTGACGCTCCCAAGGCCCCAAGGAGCATCTATCTGACGGTGCCATGCCGCGCCGGCCCAAGTGCGTTGCGCTGCGCTGCGCTGCTTGGTTGGGGACGGAGAATCAATGGCTCGCTGCATGCCTGCACAGTGGCCGTGCTCTGCATCCGCTGTGCAAACCCCATCTATTACTGACACATCCGAGCTCCACGCCTGCACCACACCACTCCACTCCACACCACACCAGCACCGCTCTGCAAAAAATTAAAAAGAAACCGGGACGCCTGCCACGTCGAGTCAGGCCAGATGATGCGCCGTTTCACCTTTTGGCGGCCGAGAAGGGCAGCAGAGACGGGCAGACCAAACACCAAGCCACAGGCACGATGCATGGCTGCGGGAGCCTGCCCGTAACGCTGCTGTTACTTGCCTAGCTGGGTGGACCGACGTCGCTTGAACCAGTTGCCGCCAACCACCAGCCTTAGCATGAATAGCGTATTGCCCGGCCTTGCTGGGTCGCTTGCATATCCTCCCTCGGCCCGCGCAGAAGAAGGATGCACTACGCATCCCACCCGCCCAATCACGCGCCCCGCCCCAGATTGCCCATCAAGGACGCATGCTGTTTTGTTATTGTTATTGTTGCTGTTGTCGAGCCATGGCCATGTCGCTGCTCCTACACCGACTGAGGGTTCATCTCCACACACACTGCGGATCCTCGCTGCCAAGCACGGCACCCAGCACAACGAATGCCACTCGTCCAGATAAGGAACTGCATGTACCTCCATACACATTCCTGCACATCCAAGCTGTAGCACACGCAACCCCGAGGCGGTGACTGTGGGGTGTGGCAGTGACAGTGCGCGTCCACATGCAACCATTGGATGCGGCTGTACTTATAGCATTACCCCAGAACCGCAGTAGTCTCTGGTGACGCATGCATTCCTCGCCAGCCAGTTACGTGGCTGGATCGTGGCGCTACGGCACTCCATCTCCCCTCACCTCTGCCGATGCCCCAGCCACCCAGTATTCCATATCTCTGCCAGCAAGCAATAGGCATGCCCGCGCCAGCAATCACTTCACACTTGTCGTGTGAGATAAGCCCATGTGGAGTGATGGCACGGGTGGGGCTCTGTGCTCCACGCAGCGGAATCCCTACGAGCCCGACAGCAGTCAAAGCAACCATCCCTTCTTTCGGCTGTAGTAGTACTTCTAGGGTGCAAGAAAAACAACCAATGGAAAAAATCAGCACACGCACACGGCCACCGCTGACAGCTTGTCGAACATATGGCCCGTGCATACACAATCATCACCACCATGCGGCGTTGCAGTCCCTCACACAGTGCACGGCTGTTTGTTTTTGTAGCCAACAATCCGTTCCCTAGGATTCGAATTGTACCCTTTCACTGCACCCCGCTATATCTGGGGCTCGTGTTATGCCAAGTTCTCATAAGGGCTTTCCCCATAAGCACCGGCTGCAGAATCGCTCCTGCCTCTCCGGCCGAGATGATGTCACGACTCAAACTTGGTCTGTTGTTCACCCTCAAACTGGTGCAAGTTTACACACATTTCCCATGCACTCTCAGGTAGGCGCATCGATACTGCAACCATCTACAATACCCTCTTCGCCTATTGGCGGCCCTTTTTACAATGCAAAACAATTACTTTGTCTGCACCCTGGGCCAGGCGGCTGCCCTAAACACCAGTCCGAAGTCGTACCGAAATATTGGCGAATACATCCGTCAGCAGTCCCAGAACCACCCCTTACTCCCTGCCGTTGGCTTCCCCATTCCCGAACTAGATCAGCAAGTGTGGAGTTACAAGGTTCTTACATTTGCACATGTTGAGCATGGTGTTGGTGTCTTCGCTTCACGCCTTGCAATCGCTCTTGGCCCCTCACGAGAACCACAGACTGTTGCTCTACTGTGCCATAGCTCTCCTGAATTCCTCTTCACTTGGTTAGGCCTGATTAAGCTGGGTCATGCCGTCTTACTCGTAGCCCCTCAATGTCAGCCGGCTGCAATATTGCATCTTTGTACCTCGTGTCAGGTGTCAGTTCTCCTTTACGACGAGGCCCATGCTGAGCGAGCGGATCAGTCGGAGGAACTAGCAAAAGAGCAGGGACTGTCTGCTTTGGAAACAAAACTGCTACCAATAAATGCTTCGGAAGACATCTGGCAGGTTATTCAGGAACAATTCGAGGATAGCATTGAACCACTGCACGTCGATCAGGGAGCAGTTGCATATCTGCACCACACTTCTGGAACCTCGTCTGGCCTCCCAAAGCCCATCCCTCAATCACATCGCGCAGCCATTGGCGTGCTTCCGCATCTTCCCAAGATACCGGCTGTAGCTTCGTTTACTACGACGCCACTCTACCATGGAGGAATCGCAGATTTGTTTAGATGCTGGACCAGTAATGCCTTGATTTGGCTTTTCCCAGGCAAAGATGTGCCCATTACAGCTCGCAACATTTGTAGTTGTCTGCATGTGGCCAAGGTGTATGCAAAGACAGAAGGGCTTCCCAAGGTGAAATACTTCTCATCGGTTCCCTATGTACTCCAGATGATGGAAGCTGATGAGCAAGGACTGGAGCTGCTCCAAGAAATGGACATTGTAGGCGTTGGGGGCGCAGCCTTGCCAACTGAAGTTGGTGATCGTCTGGTCAGGAAAAAAGTCAATCTCATTTCACGGTTTGGAAGTGCAGAATGCGGCTTTATCCTGTCGTCGTATCGTGAATCCTTTGTAGACCAAGATTGGCAGTATTTGAGAAATTACAACCCACCAAAACTGGTAGAGTTTGAAGAGCGTCAGGACGGCCTGGCTGAGCTTGTCATTAAACCTGGGTGGCCGCACATGGTACTGCTCACAACTTTACGTACGTTGTGTAGCTAGCTGCTAATATCTATACAGGCAAAGCAGAATCGACCTGACGGATCATTCGCCACTGCCGACTTGTTTGCGCCGCATCCTACAATCAAGGACGCTTGGTTGTATCATTCACGAGCGGATTCCCAACTTACTCTCATCACAGGAAAGAAGTTCGATCCGGCTCCACTTGAGGATGCTCTCGCAACTTCCCCTGACCTAGATGATGTCCTCATCTTTGGCAACAGCCGACCATTTCCAGGTGCACTGCTCTTGCGGTCCAAACAAGCCCGTGAAATAACAGACAATGAATTGCTCAACTCCATAAGGGAGCAAGTCGCAAGATTGAACAGCGAAAGCCAAGATCATGCCCGAATACCGTTCGACATGTTGATTCCTATCCCCTATCAAGACAAGCCACTCGAGAAAAGTAGCAAGGGCACTATAATTCGAAGGGCTGCTGAGGAACGGTTCCAAGATGTCATCAATCAGGCATATATTGCGCAGGATTCCGACTCTTCCCCCCAGGTGACCGATGAAGATCTTCCTCGACACTTGACGAGTCTGATTCAGAGCCTGACGGGACAATCTGGACAGCTCACCGAGGATATGGACCTGTTCTCTTATGGTGTTGATTCCATTGCGTGTATGCAATTAAGAACGCGTTTAAGACGATTGATCCCGAATATCAAGGGACAGCTACCAATGAGCGTGGTAGAAGATTGCGGTTCGATTCGGCGACTGACAGACTATGTGTTGCGAAAGAGACATGGGGAAAAAGAGATGGGAGAGGAAGACGAAGAAAAACTAATGCTGGACATGGTAGAGCGATATGGCTTGTTTGAAAGGCCGGCCTCCGATGTGTCTGCCAATGGACTGCCTGAGAAGAGTCAAGGCGGTGATATTGTGGTGCTGACTGGGGCCACTGGGGCGCTGGGTGCGCATATTTTAAGTTTACTGCAGAAAACACCCACGGTCACAGCAGTATACTGTCTTGTCCGAGGAGCAGACGAGACAGCAGCGAGAGAACGTGTGAACAAAGCGCTGCAGCAGCGCAGTCTGATTGACCTAGGTCCTGCTGATGCCCCGAATACCAAGACCAAAGTAGTGCCAGCACAGCTAGGCGAAGAGAATCTGGGACTAGACGATGAGACATACGACCATCTCGCGAAGAAAGCAACTTTGATTGTTCACGTTGCATGGACAGTCAACTTCCGTCTCAAACTGCGGAGCTTTGAGAAAGACAACATTGCTGGGGTACGAAACCTCCTCAACCTTGCCTTGAAAGCTGGGCGCCCGCAGCCTCCCTGCTTCTTGTACTGTTCATCTACTGCGGCAGTTATGAATAGCTCTCTGGATGACACAGGCAAACTGCCCGAAACGCTTAGCTCCAGGCCCTCTTCGGCATCCTCCCTGGGCTATTCTCGTTCCAAATGGGTGGCGGAGCACATTTGTCTCCGAGCACACGAGCAAACGAGGCTCCAGGGCCGTATCGCAGTTGTGCGTGTTGGTCAGCTGACTGGTGACTCAACTACAGGGGTGTGGAACACAAAGGAGGCTTGGCCTATAATGCTGAGCACGGCGAGGTTGATTAACTGCCTTCCCGACTTGGGGGATGAGCCTTTGGACTGGCTGCCTGTGGATGTTGCTGCAAGAGCCTTTTTGGAAACGCGTGACACGCTGGACGGAAGTGAGTCAATGCCAGTCTACCATGTGTTGAACCCACACCAAAAACCGACGTGGCACCAGATGTTGGAGTGGCTGCAGAAGTGGGAAAACTTTGACATTGTCACGCCAAAGGAATGGGTTGAGCGACTAGAAGAGTCTGGCGGATCGGAGCATTCTGCCTTGAAGCTCTTGGGCCTGTGGAAGGCGTCATATGGTGGTGAAGCCGCCGAAGCAGGGACACGACCGCAGTTTTCTATGACGACTACAAGCAAGAAGGTGCCGACGTTGAGGGATATCAAGCCGCTGGACGAAGAATATCTAGGGAAGATGTGGTACTGGGTCCAGCAAAACGTGCACTGATACGTACGTATACTTGGATAAGGCAGATAGAGTTGCCAAGGGGGGGGGGATAGTAGTAGTATGTCGTGGTTAAGCCTTATCTCCATCTCTTGGCGTTAACAAGGGACCCTGGCTGCCCGCAGACGTGGTTAAGATCCGACTCCGAGGTGGATGATGCAGAGCCAAATTCAACTTGTGGCTCTTATTCAATCAATGCTTGCATGTCCAAGTATCATTGGCATGCGTCTGGGTTCCAAGTTTTTTTTCATGCATCATGTCACGTATTCCATCGGCTCACCGTGATTGCAAACGGCAGAGTGCGTTTAGGGTACCGTATAAGAGTAGTATGAATCGTGAGTACTAGATGAGATGATATGCACACGTAGCAATGTACACGAATGTGTAATGTAGCACAAAATGCAACGATGTCTTTCTGATAAGGGAAAAGCTGAGGTCGTTTCTTAAGTTGCTCACCGCCCGGTATCCAGTTTAGTTTTTCTGTGTATTGTTTCTTTTTTTTAAAGCACCCGCAACCTTGGGTCAATGGTTAATGTAAGACGGCTATGTGAACGGGGACGGGCTATGGAAACGATCGGTGGACGGTGAACAAAATGATGAGAAAATGAGTCAGGGGTGGGGGGCCCTGTACGCAATTCCCTTCCGTCTCGTTCTCGTCGCATAAACGGATGGCGGAGGCGGAGCGCAATTCCACCCCGACCTCCGACGTCCCTCTCTTTTGCCAAGCCCAGCCCAGCTCAGCTCTCTCTTTTCCGTTTCCAACCAAACGGGCAGCAGGAAAAGCCCTAGGTAGTGAGATTATGGGGCGTAAAAAAACACACACGGATGATTGCCATTCATCGGTTGTGGACTAGCCTGAAGTTGGCTTGCCTGTCGTATGTTAGGCATCCATTTTTTTTTCTGCGCGTGCAGGGCCGTTGGGTTGGTGGTGCACGGCATGGCGGAACCTGCGTTGTGTCACCCAGACAAATGGGCATGGTCCCTTTTTGCATGTGCAACGCGAAGGAGTGCGAAGAAGGGGGGTGGGGCTAGTCGGTGCTGAGCAGTTGGGTTTGTTGTTGTGAGAAGGTTAGAGAATGATGTCAGCATACTACTAACTTAGTAGTAGTAGTCCCCAAGGGTAAGGAATAAGGAAAGAAAAGCTTGGAACGTTCAGCATGCTTGACTGGTAAGCGTCGAACGGCTTGCGGGGTGCGCGCGCTCCGGGCCCACGATCCTAACGAAACGCTTTAATGAGAATGGGGAGATAGACATTGCCGCACGATCGATGCGCCAACGAGAGAGAGCCTGTTTTGCTCTTGATTCGCTTTCTCTTACTCATACACAATAGGCTTTTGGCTTGTGGGTAGCCGAGCAAATAGCCCCCCCCCTTCTTGGCGATGGATTCAGAGTGCAATCTGCAAGGCCATCAGCGTCAGCCATGCAGCCGCGGAACGACAATTGCGCCATGTGGCTTGCAATCAGGCAGCAAAACTACGGCTATGATGGCGCGCCGGACGAATTTCGCCGCAATGTAGCCGAAGGCGTTTGCTGAGGGCCTCTAGACAGCTTCTAAACTCCGTCGACTAGGCCCCTTCTAGGCCTTTCGCGAACGAGGTCCGCACGACTTCTAGGCGGTACGACAATGGAACGCGTCCCGGAGCTCCTTGCCATTTAGGAAACCCACTTCTGAAGGAGAGTGTATTCATAACTCCTTTTTTCTGCCTTTAGCCCCGTAGCGGGTCGGTGGTATAATTAGAGGCGCGCGTCTCTCTTTCCATCCTTTGTCCTGCTCTTGCCTTGGTACACTACGCCCTGTTTGTTTGCCACCTCTTTTTTGCATGCATAGTCAGATTAACTTGCGCAAACAAACTAATAAAAGTGTACGATAACCTCTGTCTGCTTCTTGTTCTCAGATGAGCAACACAAACGACAAGCTCCGTCCATCCAGTATGGCGGACTCTGAAAAGACGGCAACGCCTAGCGTTCAGAACACTACCGACAAGGAGAACAAGGGTGCTGTCGAAACTGTTCTTCCTGCTTCAACAGCGGCTGTTGACGCCGCAGCCCCCATCACCGGCACTGGAGAGAAGAGTTCGCGGCCGAGCTCGGTAGCCAGCCCAGCACCAGAAAACAACGACGAGGACGACTTTGAATACCCGACCAAATGGAAGCTGGCCGCCATCACCGTGGCATTGTGTTTGAGCGTCTTCTGCATGGCCCTGGTAAGTCTAGTGCAATGCCCGTTAGCTCCCTTGGTTCCACAACTTTGGTACCACAACGGTGATCGACGCCACCTTACTTACGCATATGAAATCGGCTGCCGATCCATCTCGTCAGCATTAGCTAACACGCACACGTGCAGGACAACACCATCATCGCAACAGCCATCCCTCGCATTACGGACCAGTTCAAGGCTCTGAATGATGTTGGCTGGTATGGATCGTCGTACCTCCTTACCACGTGCGCGACGCAGCTCATGTACGGTAAATTCTATACATACTACTCGATCAAGTGGATCTACTTGACTGCCCTGGCCATCTTCGAGTTCGGCTCGCTTATCTGTGCTGTTGCGCCAAACTCGACGGCGCTCATCATTGGACGTGCCATTGCCGGTGTTGGTGCTGCTGGTATCTTTTCTGGAGCCATTCTGATCGTCTCGGTGACGGTACCGCTGCGCCAGCGTCCTACGTACATGGGCGTTATTGGAGGCATGTACGGAATCGCAAGTGTAGCTGGACCCCTCATGGGCGGTGCCTTTACTGACCACGTCAACTGGAGAATGTGCTTTTACATCAACCTTCCCTTTGGTGCCATCACGGCGGCTTTCATCATTCCCTTTCTCCATGTTACCCGCCGTGGCGGAAAGGTCCAGGCTACATGGCGTGAGCAGATTCAGAAGTTCGATCTTCCCGGAACGGCTTGCTTCTTGCCTGCCATTATTTGTTTGTTGCTCGCTCTCCAGTGGGGTGGCAGCAAGTATCAGTGGAAGGACGGCCGCATCATTGCGCTCCTGGTCCTCTTTGTCCTTCTCACATGCGGATTCCTTGCTATCCAGTGGTGGAAGCAGGAAGATGCCACGGTTCCTCCTCGCGTCTTCCTGAACCGCAACGTTTGGGGATCTGCACTGTTCGGTGCTATGCTGGGTGCTAGCTTCTTCGTCATGGTCTATTACCTGCCCATCTGGTTCCAGGCCATCAAGGGAGCTTCGGCAACAAAGTCTGGAATCATGAACCTCCCTGCCATCCTCGGTCTCGTCATCATCTCGATGCTTGCTGGTGGCGCCGTCACTGCGATTGGTTACTACACGCCGTTCATGCTCCTCTCGTCGGTCCTCATGTCCATCGGCGCTGGTCTGCTCGCAACAATGGAAGTCGACAGTGGTTCCCCGGAATGGATTGGCTACCAGTTCATCTTCGGTGCTGGTGTCGGTTTCGGTATGCAGCAGATCCTGGTTGCTGTTCAGACAGCGCTTCCCGCAGAGGATGTTCCCATTGGCACGGCTACCATGATGTTTTTCCAGACTCTTGGTGGCGCTCTTTTCATCTCTGTTGGCCAAAACGTCTTCACCAACCAGCTCATCAAGAACCTGGCCAGCATTGTGCCTGATCTCGATGCCGGTATCGTACTCCGCACCGGTGCAACTGAGCTCAAGCACGCTATTGATCCTGATTTCCTCTCTGGCGTGCTTTCAGCATACAACACGACGCTTACCCAGACCTTCTACGTGTCGGTTGCCTGTGGAGCAGTCTCGATTTTTGGTGCTGCGTTTGTCGAGTGGAAGTCGATGAAGGGCAAGGAGATTGTCATGCATGCTGCCTAAGCGATCCACGCTACAGGAGAAGAACGATCTCTAGAGACTTATGGCCTGGTGAATGAGTGACTCTTGCTGGCGTCGCTCATTGTAACGATACCCCCCCTTTTTTTTCTGCCTCGTCAAAACATGAGCATTTAGTAGCGAGCATGGCGTCGGCGTTGGTTTTTGCTATTAGGGAGGATTTCTTCTTCTTGGTAGATTGCAGTAGATGCACTATGATTAGTGGAACGTGGTGGATTATGACTCTTCACTCTTAATTTTACAAGAAAAAAGGAATGAAATAATTTTAATGCTACATTTTGCAAAGTACCATCGATTGGCTCTAATACTACGACCGGATATCCGCGTGGTCCGGCGGAAGCAGAGATGAGCCGGTATCCGAGAACAGAATGTGACGTCAGCGTAGTCCCTCGAGTGCGGGTGCGGGTGCAGGTGGCAGAGAGTGTGGCTTTTGCCCTCCCGCATGTCACATGGAGGTAGTTTTCCCTTGTTGAGTGGAGCCAAGAAGAGGGGACTAGACAGCAGTAGACCGTAGTAAACGACGTTGCATACTAGACGGGCAAATGGGACCTCGATCCCCTCCCAACTCGACGTAGGATTGGCTTGCCCTGCTTGGCCGTTCTAACCGTCGGCTGTTTAGCCCCGAGGCTTAGCAGAGCTTGTTTTTTGGTAGGGCCGGAGCGTTCCACTGGCGATCAACACTCGCCCGCCCGCTCGCTGCGCCTGCCTTGGATTGCGCGTTCTCCAGTCTTACTGTGTACCTTACCCGGGTTTGCGCGGTATCCCTCCCCTTCTACACACAACATGCCGTAGCCGCACTCAATGACACTGCGACTACCGGAATCAGCACCTAATTTTTAGCCCCTCCCCTTTGCGCTCCCCTCAGCCCCGTTGCGCCGAAACGCGCCCACCGTCCACCAAGCCCGCTCGCTCTCGTCGACTTTGCGCCTAGACGCGCCGTCGCGTGTCGCAAGCATGCCCGAAGAGAGGGACTCGGCGCCACCGGGCGTCCAGAATGGACAGGCACACCCAGCCGTGGAAAAGGACGAGTCTACAAACGGCGCCAATGTCGAGTACCCAAAGCCCCAGAAGTCGGATACGGCCGGCAGCAAGAAAAAGGGACCCGAGGGAGGCTTCGACGACACGCCGGTACCGCGCGCACCGCCTGGATACACGGTCAAGTTTACGCTGCACCGTGCCAACAACCTCCCTCTAGCCGACATCAATACCCTTTCGGCCGATCCCTTCGTCGTCGCCCAGCTCATCACCAGCCTGCCGACACGACACAAGGAGGACCCGCCCCTGACGATGCGCACCCATACAGTGCGCCAGAGCACCGATCCAGAATGGAACTATGAGTGGATAGTCGCAAACGTACCGGCGTCGGGCTTCAACTTCAAGTGCCGCATCTACGACGAGGACCCCGCAGACCACGACGATCGCCTCGGTAACGTCCATGTCGTCGTTCCTTCGATAAGCGAGAACTGGCCGGGCATACATGACCAGACATATACCATCAGGAAGCGCATGATTAGCAAGAGGGCGTATGCGCTGCGCGCCGTCGCGGTTTGCTTCGGAAAGGTGCACCACATGAGCGGAACACTCAACGTCAGCGTAGAGGTACTGGGCAGAACACAAGACGAGAACGGAGGACGCACATATACAGTAGGACCGCAGTTCTGGATACGGCATTACTCGCCGCTACTCGGACGTCTGCTGGGCCAGAAAGAACCCAATGACGATGGCGAAGTGTCACGACGAACCGGCAAGCAAAAACCGCAAAAGTACAATTTCCAGTCGAACCAGATGCAGTTGCGGGGCCCCGTGCCTGAAGCAATGTATCACCGCTTTGTTGAGTTTAAGCCGTTCGTCAAGAGCATGTTTACAGCAAAGGGGGCTCGGGGCTATATCCTCTCCAAAGCCCTACACCACCAACACGCCCGCGTCTACAACTTTGATCACGCAACGGAATTTCAAGTAATCCGCGAGCCCTGCAAAGAATTTACGCAAAAATTCCTCGAACTCGTCCATTACGACCAAGGCGGCCGCATCTTCACCTACGTCCTCACCCTCGACGCCCTCTTCCGCTTCACGGAAACCGGGAAAGAATTCGGCATTGACATGCTTAGCAAACACACCATGCACAGCGACGTCGCCCCTTACATTGCCTTTTCCGGCGAATTCTTCATCCGCCGCCTCAAACACAAGGACCGCCGTCCCCCCGACGAAGGCGGAAACAACATCTCGCACCCCCCTCACGACATCGAAGGCGGACCCCCCCACGACGACACACCCAAAAAAGACCCCGCCTACTACGAACTCGTTATCGACAACGACTCGGGCACCTACCGCCCCAACGCCGCCCTCCTCCCCTATCTGAAATCCTTCTTCTCCCAAAACTTCCCCGGCCTCCACATCCGCACCCTCGACTGCCAGGGCGACGCTGAGAAAATGGCCGCCATGAAGGAAGAGCAGCGCGAACGCAAAAAGAGAGAGGGTGACGCCGTTGTGTACACGCAGATTTCAAGGAGTAGCTCTGTGAGTAGTAGTGATGAGGAGGAGCTCGATCGGCTCGAGGCTCAGGGCGAAATGACGCCCCGTCATTTGAGACATACGATTCATAGGGAGGCAGGGGCCAGGGTTGATGCGTTGAAGGTCCATGCGAGGGGGAGGCCGGGGACGGGGGATGGGGAGGGGAGTGTTAAGGTTGCGGGCGGTGGCTAGGTGGGAATTAAGTGACTGGAGGGGCAATGGGGTAAAAGGGCGGCCGGGAGTATGGGGGGCATCTTGTGAGGGGAACAACTGAGCGAGCATTCTTTTTTTTTATCCCAATTTTTTTTTTACTTACTTTATTCTTCCCCTTTTTGTGTGTGTGTGTCTAATCAGTAGCAAAAACCCTCTTTATGTCGCATGTGTTTATACGTTTCCTATGTAGCTTATCGGCCTATTTGCTTTTCTTCTTCTTTTCTTTTGTTTATATGTTTTAGCGGCTTTTCTTTGCATCACTACGGTTACAAAAAACATATATATATAGTTGGAAGAGAAGACGAGGGAAAGGGGGCGGGGGTGGATTAATAGATACCCTTTTGTGTGTATTTTGTTTTTAAGTAGTCTTGAAGCGTAGTTTGTCGTATGCCAACAAAAAAAAATTAATAACTATCTAACTAACTATATCTAAAAAAGTCAGATAGTCGAGTTGAAATCAGCAATAGACTTAACTAAGTGAAATGGTTGACATCAGATTGCTAAGAAGATAGAGCGGATTGCGAAATCCATCCAAGATCTCAATTCTAGCAAATTATCTATTAACAATGTGTAGGAAGTTATTTTTTCGTCATGTGCCCCAATATGCAATCCATCATCTTGACATCCAAAATAGCCTAATGATATATCCCGTCTCATACATACAAAAAAAACAGACCACATCTTAGAACTGCACCTGAAACCTAGGATTTGTCCTAAGCCTCTCTCCATAATACCTAAACAGTATCGGCACGGGTATAAACGCCACACCAATGAACCCCAAGAGTGAGTTTCCCCAGCCCAACCCCAACGAATCATACATGGGCAGTCCTGCAAGCGGCAGGAATGCCCCGAACATTGACCTAAGCACCGTATTGGCCGCAACAACCGATGCAGCATGCTGCGTAAACGCATCAACAAGATACGTCTGAATACTCATGAGCGCAGTCAAACTTCCCAGACCCACTGGCGCCATAGCCATGATAGGAACGATCCAATGCACCTTGTTCTTCGCCGTCCATCCGTAAATGAAAATGCCAATGGGCAAGCCAATTGCACCGGGCAGCGTCAGAACAAGTGGAAGACGATGCTCAGGCTTCGCTTTGCCTTTTGTTTCCTGCTTGTACTTGATGTAGCTGTCGGATCTTGTGCCAAGTAGCATGAGTCCCATAACCATGCCCGCACCGATGCCTAGGTAGGCGAGACCTACGGAGCCCGAGGAGAATTCGTATTGGCCCTCAAACACGAAGGTGATTGTTGTGAAGAAGAGGTACAAAATGCCGTAGTTGAAGGAGATATAGAGACACATGAGTAGCACGATAGGGGAGAAGAGGAGCATCTTGATTGGCCGGACGATAGCACGGATAAGGATTTCGCGTGGGGGGAGATCCTGTGCTAGTTTGGAGCGGAGATCGGTATTTCCCGTTGATTTGATGAGGGATTTGGTTTTGCGGGCGAGGAGGACAGGGGCGTAGGTTTCGCGACCGAGGACGAGGAAGAGGAGACCGAAGGCGCCACCAAAGATGGCCAGGATCCAGTATACCCAACGCCAGACGAGATTTTCGACGAGGAAGCCTCCCGCAATAGGACCTACGACGGGCCCAAGAAGGGGGCCTATGGCCCAGATTGTCATTGCGCCAGCACGTTCCTGGACGGGGAACATGTCTGCGATTGTACCGCCACCGAGGGTCACGGGCGCGGCGCCGGCACAACCAGCCAAAAACCGGAAAGCGATGAGCATGCCCATTGAGTCAGAGACGGCACAGGCAACGGTGAAGATAACGAAGAGTACGCCGCAGATGTTGTAGAGAGGCATGCGGCCATAGACTTCGGACATGGGCGCGATGACTAGAGGTCCGATGGCGAAGCCTAGAATGTACACTGAGACGACGAATGCGGCCATGACCCTTGATGTCTCGTGGAATGCTCGCATCACTTGTGGTACGCCGGGGGCAAAGAAGGAGGATCCGACTGGAGTGATCAGTGTAACGAGGCCGAGGGTGGCAACAATAGTCCATTTCTTCTTCGCAGTCCAGTTTTGAGGGTTGTTGGGGTCATCCGGCCCATCCCAGTCTACAATGTTGGGGTCCTGTTCTTGTTCTTGTGCCTGTATCGCATTCGGCAGTGTTTGCTCGTTTGAATGGGTTGATGATGATTGGCTCTCAATGCCTTTTTCTGGATCATGAGCAAATGCATCTCCTATTGTTTCTGCCTCTTTATGATGTGTTGATTCATATGCTTCTTTCCTCTGTTCGTTCTGGGGTTCTTGTCTGTCCCGTGTGGGGTCTGGCGAGGCTGGTGTTGCCATTGTGAAGGTTGGATGTGGACTGACTGCAACAGTGTAAGCATACTCGTATTGGATAGACTGCCTTGAATAGGCGTGCCTAGAATGAACAAGCCTTACCGAACGGTGGTTATACCACGGAGTGGACGTAAGCAGCTGCAAATCGTCAAGTCGAACGGAAACTTGCAGACGAGGTCTTGGGAAATCCTAGCACTAAAGTTTCCCTTACCAGACGGTATTTGAAGGCCACTTAAGAAAGGAGAAGAGAGGTGTGCATGGACTAAGAATTGGCAGGCGGCGTAATTCACGGACACAAGACCGTGCGACCCTCCGCAACGAAGCGTAAGGCGCCCGGACTTAATGTAGCCTGGGATAGGGCTAATCTCCACCAATATACTACGTGCAGCTATGCAGTCACCCGCACGTGTTCCGCCCCCATACTTATGTCGTCATATCCGTGGTGAAAGCGAGCGCTTAGAAGTGGAGGCGAAGGTATAACGTATGCTAGTCACTGCAATGTGATAAGCACACAAATAACCTTTCACGGAGGGTGAAAGAGTATCGTTTTAGCAGTGAGTCTCTTTGATTACCATGTTGGGCTTAGCAGTGTCGGGTTGTGCATTGCTGCAAGCACCGCGCGGAGGGTCGGAGGGTCGGAGGGCCATTCGAGATGAAGCGATGCGGATCTCCCCAGCCTTGTATATAGGTTCGGTACATGAATTCGGACGAACTGGATAATTGTTCGTATTCACATACATTCCGGTAACCTGGCTTCAGGTGTGTGGACGAATGTACGGCCGTCAGACGTTGATGCACATGGCTCGATGTCTGACATTGCCCAGTATCTCAGTTTACACAGTACCACCTTAATTTGACATACTGATGTCGCCTACCTGTTGATGGAATGTGAAGGCAAGGTCTACTTACTGTTATCCGGAGCGAGAGCCCGTGCGGTTTGTGTTGTACAGAGTTGACGGTCGCGAACAAACGGCCGGAGTTGACGATGACGAACAGGTGGTCTTTAAGGGCTGTTGTTTTGCGTTAACCCCGAATAGCTAGTCATATGGTAGTCGGGGAAAGTACGATGGATAGTTTGTATGACTACGCGAATAGATGTTCGATGCTTGCCCCACAGTTTTTCGTAAAGCGTATTATCCCCAGACAATGACAAGGGTCTCCGATCCCATCCGCCGTATCCGTATTTACGCAACGTTTAACTACAAGAAGCCATCTTGAAGTACATTTTGGTCGGATATGTTAATAACAGGGTTTGACTCTTAGCAGTTGTGTTGAATGATAAGATCCATGAATGAGTGCATACCAATGTTTGTGATGGAAACAAAGTTAACGGATTGTCGTAAACTCAATATAAAGTGCTGACATATTGTCTTACATGGCAGATGATCCATGGAAAAAAAGAAGAACATCGGTGTCAAGACAAGACCGAAAGCCGAAGCGAGCGTAAAAGAAAGCGTATTGCGTACTTTGCGGCATGTCACTGCAACCGAGGTCAAACCTCAACAAAATGTCTTTGAGATACACCACCTCTATCCCTTATTCATGACTTTCCGCCAGCCAAACTCCTCCCTCCATCCTAGCATATCTTTCATTTTTTTGTTGCAAATAGGTGAATCACGATCTCCCATCTTTTGGATAATCTGCACTCCAGGACATGTCTTTCTTAACCATTCTTCAATGCTTCCCTCCGACTCTGGTATCGTAGTCTCATCATTCACCGCATTGAAGACCTGAAACCCTAGTCCACTGGTCTGCAAGCAAGCGTGGACAATGCCTGCCAAGTCTCTCGCATCCGTGTAGCTCCACGCATGGACTTTGAAGTCCTGTGGCCTTGTCAGATACGCTTTAAACTTTTGAGCGTGATTCTCGGGCTCAATGACGGCCGAGATGCGCAGGCAATAGATGTCCACACTTGGGAAGCGCCGAGCGAATGACGCGGCAGTTTGTTCCATACAGAGTTTCGACGTGGCGTAGACATCCATGGGTTGTGTAGGTGTGTCCTCAGTTATGGGGAAATGTGCATAATCGACGTCGCCTTCTGCATAGGTAACGCCATAAGCAGTGATACTCGAAGCCAGGATGATCTTTTCACATGATTAGTGATTTTCTCATCACTTTGAAACAGTATATATATACCTTCTTGATTCCAAGCTTACAGGCTGCCTCGATAACATTGTATGAGCCCATTGTGTTAATTCGAAATGTCTCATTGTCTGGAATCCTCATCGGCTGTGGTATGCCAGCAAAATGCACAACTGCATCCGGTGTCTGGACTGATTCCATGAATGGTTCGCTAACGCGGAAATGACAAGACAGACTATTGAACGCCTGTGCGCCGTCTGTCAAGTCCGCCTTTAATGTGTACACATCTGGATTATTCAATGGTGTCACATCGACATTAAGAATCTCATGGCCGTGAGACAAAAGCCCAGATATGACATGGCGGCCTGCTACCTAGGAAGTGTGCATAGTCAGTAGAATTCTAAATAGGAAGAAATTCGTAACCTCATGTATCTGTACGCTTGGAAATCTCGAAGACATATGTTGGAGCCCAAGTGCCCTATACATGCCAAGAAAATCTAGGATGCTAAAAAGCATAGCGAAGTGACGTAAATGCACATACTCCGGAGCCGCCCGTGAAAACAATTCGCTTTCTTGACGTTGAGCTAGATGACATTGCACTAAGGTGAATATGCTTGCGAGAGAGGGAGGGAAAAGTGAGATAGAGTAGACGTATATGTCTAAATAAGGAATTTTGGAGCTGCAGGTGAGGCAGTGATGTTGTTTTCGTTGCAGATTTGTCACTCCCAGCACGTTTTTGTAAGCAGAGTACCCCAGCGTTGAACAGAAGTCGTGAGTTCCCCGCGTGTCAGCGGAGCTTCCCCACTTTGTCTCCGTCGGCCCCTTGGCTCAGAGATCAGCGCCAGTTGAAAGTCCGCAATACACCAGTTGCTAACATCAGTGGTATTACATAAGACACACGGTTGAATAATAACAGGAAATAACACAGCCAGACGGTTGGTGGTACATTCATTCATGTCTTTCATTCAGAATGCGGCTTCTAATTGGCCGCGGTTTCTTCCGTCATGATGTTCGTATTTCTACTATGAACAGACCTACACAGTCTGCGTGCCGTATCCCCTGATCCTGTCTGCAAAGGCCCAGCTCTGGTTCTCCAGCTTGACATTCTCGTCCAATTCAACACCCTCCTTGGTCACGACCGCAATTGAGTACTTGTCCATACTCCTAGCATCCCTGTAGAAGAGAACCTTCATACACTCCTTGATCTTCTCCACTGCCTGCTCCTTTGTGACGTTCTCCACAGCGGCCTCGTCTGGCAATATGGTCCTCAGAATTGGCTGGGCGAGATGTGCACCGAAACCTGTGGCTAACGATGGCGATGTGAAAGTAGTACCGAGGAGGTCTGCACTTGCGAGAAAGGGCTTCGACTCGCCATCCATGCCAACAATAAGCAAGTGGTTCCACAGTGGGTCGAACTTGGATCGGCGGTTGTACATGACTTTGGCGAGGTAGGTGTGGAGGTTCTTCGCATTGAGCGAGTTCTCAGAAGAAGAGTAGTTCTCGCGGATGTCCAGGGAGTTCAGAAGGCGGTCGATGTACTGCATGTCCGAGACGTCGCCGCCGAAACCCACGACTACCTCATCGTTGAACTTTCGTAGACGCTTGACGTCGGTGAAACGGGCGAGGGATCCGTATGAAGCTGCGAAACAGCATTAGTAAGGCTATTCTCTGTAACCCATGGTGTTATGTCATACCCAGGTTGTCCGCCGCAATGACTACGCCATCCTTGAACTTGGCCGCGAGTACTGAGGTACCGGTAACAATCGGGCTCTGAGTGTGCTGATTTGGGCCATCGGATGAAAAGTGCGAGGGATCGTAGGCACCGTAAACATCGTCTCTAGGCTGTGATGCATTAGTACTACTGCTATTGACGGCGGGTGGAAGACGTACACGGCCCCATGCCTGTGGAAGGTGGTTCATGTTTGGGAAGTTTTTGCTGAAGCTCGGGGTATCACGGAGGCAGCGATTCGAGGCCGAGATTGCAAGCTGATATCTCAAAGTGGGCGGGAAGGCGAGGTTGTTGTGACGGTGCGTGTAGGCAGTCGGTGGTTGCGCAGCTCGCCCGCCAAGAGATAGACTTGGCCCAAGCTCCGTATACTCAAGCCAGCTACAGATGATGGCCCACGAGCATTGTGCACTCCAAGATGCTCGGGATTGATTATCCAGATAGTGACGAGGAAGAGGTTGTACCGGCGACGAAGCCAGAGGTGAGAATCACAAACGTCCCCAGAGGGCTTCGACCGCTACTAATAGAGAGTTGACCAACATTCCTGCGACAGTTGCGCCTGCGCCTGCCCCAGCCCCAGAACCGCCTTCTGCACCTCCTCCACCTCTCGAGAAGCCTTCTGCTTCCCAAGGACCAGTCAGCGGGCCCTCGCAAGGACCAGCTGCAACACCACCTCCCATTGACAATGACCTACCGGACGATGCTGCTCCAGGCTCACCATTTACAACAACCCGCGCCTTGATCCAGAACCTCACTTTACCTACCGTACCAAATTTCGACATACCACCTTCACCTCCCGGATCACCGCCCCAAAAAGCGACCAAGAAATTTGCGCAGTTTCTCGAACTCAAGAAGAAGAATCAGCACTTCAACCACCGCTTGGAAAGCTCGTCCGTACTGCGCGACCCTGGCCATTCTCAGAAGTTGTTGGAATTTGCAGGCATAACTGAGGAGGAATCCTATGCGTCTACGCTGTCAAGCGACGTCGCCATACCGACAAGTTTTACGCCCTGGGCCTATTTTGAGGAACTGAAGGCTTCGCAGAAGCAACTTGCAAAAGCGAAGGAGCAGGAAAAGTCAAAGGCACCGAGAAAAGCTCTTGATTTTGTCTCTGCAACCAAGTCTGGGACCTCGAGTGAAGCAGGTACCCCGTCCATGTCCACCTCTGGGAAGCGCAAGGAATTGGAACATAGAGGAAGAGATGATGCGAGTTCTAGAAGCATGCTGAAGAGCAGATCGAGGTCACCAAAGAGGAGAAGGTCAAAGTCTAGGGAGAGGGAATAGAGTTTCGAGCATCATCGCGGTCCATGTACATCGGCGATGAGATGCAGGAACCCTAGTCCAAACCTGTGGAGTTTGACAGGAATGTATAGAAGCTATGTGTATTTGAGCGAACACAGAAGATTATTACTTCATGCTATATAGCATGTCACCTCTTCTCAGCAATACATGCTGCAACATCGACATCACAAAACGTAGTTATACATAGCAAACTTGCACCTCCAATCCATCATCTCAGGCCACCCTTTCACGATTTACGAACCTGTCTCGCCATATCATCCATAGCGATGTACGAAAACGTCATTGCCGGTGTTAACGTAGCCCCAGGCCCTGGATACCTTCTCCCCATCACGCTCGCAGTCGTGTTCCCCGCCGCATACAGGCCCGGAACGGGCTTACCATCTTCCATCAGCACACGTGCAAAATCATCCGTCAACAGACCGCCTTTCGTTCCGAGGTCCCCGGGATATAGTCTGACAGCGAAAAAGGGGGCTTCTGCAATAGAGCCCAGGTTGGGATTCGGTTTGTGGTATGGGTCCCCAAAGAAGCGATCGTAGGGATTCTCTCCTCTTCGAAAATCCTCGTCGACACCCTTGCTTGCAAATGTGTTGAATCGTGTGATTGTATTTTGTAGATTCGTCGGGTCAATGTTGATTTGCTTAGCCAGACCCACGATACTGTCGTCTTTGTAAATGAGCCCATTCTCAATCGCCCACTGTGGTGTATGCCGTGGACCGAACTGGCCGAGAATATATTTGTTGCGGTGTCTTGCATCGATGATGATCCACGAGGGTGTTGCTGAAGTTGTTTCATGGCGTTTGTTCATTATCTTACCGAAATCATCGTAGTCCAAGGCTTCGTTTAGGTAGCGGTGGCCGTCTCCATCGACCACGATCGAATGGGGAAGTGAACGGGCGGCTATGTCGAGAATGGGGGTTTCGCCTACCAGTATCATGGGCATCCACCATGCTGCATCCATCATGTCGATGACACCACCCGCCTTCTGACCGGCTGTGATAGCCTCGCCTTGGTCACCTGGTGAAGCAACGCTCCACTGCGCATACTCAGCTCTCTTTTGATGTTGATCCCGCATAGCTGGATTCCTTGCAAAGCCTCCTGCTGTCAACAAAACCCCATTTCTTGCACCGATCCTTACTTTCTTGCCATCTCTTTCAACCACAACACCCACCACCGCTCCCCTCTCATCAGTCGCGAGCTCCACCAACTTACTTCCCCTCCATATTTCCGTCCCTTGCTGCTTATTCATATAGAGCAACTGTCCGATCAGTGACTTGCCCAACGTCACCGGTTTTTGGCCAGCCAAAACCCGAATCCCTAGTCTGGCTACAAAAACACTGAATTTGAGGAAATCATGCAGATGAGCGCCCACGCGAAAGATGTGAGGGCTCTCGTTAGAGTAAACGATAAGGTTGGGACCGGATGGAAGCCTAATCATAGACCGCCAATCTTTCAGCTTCTTGAGATCAAACACTTTGCCCTCAATCACACGACCTAGTGGCTTAGAGCCGGGCTCTAGAGAGTGGTAGTCGGGGTATCCCACGCCTGCGCGCCACTTGAATCCGCCATCCTCCAAGAATTTCACCATCTTCGGGCTCTCGTTGAGGTATGCTAGTTTTCTCTCCTTCGTGCTAGACCGTGTGTTTGGTGGTACAACTGCTTCGAGGTATGTAAGAGCTTCCTCCAAGCTATCTTCCATACCTGCTGCTTTCGAAACATGGTTGTTTGGGACCCATAGTGCACCCCCAGAGTACGCACTGGATCCGCCGATTGTGGATGTCTTTTCGACTACCAATGGTTCCAGACCATGATATTTTGCTCGTAACGCTGCTGTGAGGCCGCCTGCACCCGATCCAACTATGACGACGTCGGTCGCTTTGTCATAGTCTTTCTCTTTCAGTGCCGCGACAGTTGCCATATGGGCTCGGAAATTCCCACTCCAGATTCCTAAACGGGCATTTCGGGCGATTGGCCACCTGGATCTTGACAATGTGCCGCGGAATCTCACGATCATAATCGAGATCGTCTCTTATGCTGTCCGGAACTCAACAAATGGCCAGTTTCATAAGACAAGTCTTGGAGAGGTAAAAGGCAAAGTCTCGTTGATTTCATGGACGCGAGAACCGTAGCGCTTAATGCCGCTTATCACTACGGTCGTGCTATAACATTGAGGTCCATCATTGGAGGCCATCATTTGGGGCGTACCGGATGACCTGCTTTAGTAACACAGTTGGGGGGCCTTTGCCGTCTTACGTACTAGAGAATCTAAGAAGCGAAAAAAACATATTGTACTACAAAGAGGTCATAAGTTCGGCAGTGGGCTCAGTTCTGGTATCCGTCTGGTTCCAGCCGCGACTCTTGTGCAGTCCTTGCATGGCCAGAAAGACGAAGCAAACAGCTCATGTGTCCCGGAGCAGCAAATGGTCTAATTCTGCGCGGATATTGTTAGGCTAATCTAGTTTGCCAAGTAAGCCTCTACATGGGTCTATATTAGAATATCTACAGCAATCCTTTGATCCTAATTCGTATCGTTGAGGTAAGCGACCGAAATAGGCCAGTAGGGCATGGGGATGCTGAACTAATGTCTGCTTGAGGGTTAGGCTGTACTAGAAGAGCTGATAGATGGCGTGTAGCACCGCGCAAATCCGTTATACAGTACTGGTGGCTTCATCACGGTGCTGAGACCGAGCTTAGACGAAATGCCCGCGTAGTGATAGTAGAGATGAATGAAGTCGTGAGGACGCTCACTCCTTGCTCAGTACTAAGTAGTACCGTGCTCGGGCGTGCAACGCACCGAACCACCGAAAACAGCTTTACTGAGAACGAGACTATGTCGCCACATAGAATGATGATTATTACCGTATGGGTGGATCGAGCCGCTCACTTCACCAAGACTCAACTAATTTTGATTACTACATAACCACTACTATAAGGTGCCTTTCAAAAGTTATGTTTGAAGCTCAGAGCTTCATAAGACAAGATAGGAACATTGGCATGGCCAGATGATTCCCCTAAAACAGATTGGCTTCAAATAGCGGATCGCCCACGTACGCCAGTATCCCAAACGTTATGATCGTACATATTGATTATGTACAATCATTAGTTTAGGTTCGCAAGTAACGACAGAAAAGCTACAGTAAAGGTTGCAGAGGTTGTAGATAGGTACAGAGGCCACAGACATGTAAAGATGCAGAGAAAGATATGGGTTAATATGTTTACCGGATAACTTCAGTATAGAAAAGTGTAGATAACAATCATAGCGAAATAAACTTTATCTAGAAATCATAGACATAGACGCCCTCACTACATCAGCGCCAAGACATTAGCGCGTGGAAGCTCCCAGGCACTCGAGCTCCGCGTACTACAGCTCCATCACCCAAACCCAGAATCGCCGGCCGACCGATATACGACGCCCTCGAACACTCATACGGAGCCCCTTTGTACCTCTTCTCAGTTCCCAATCCCCAGATAACGCAATGGCTGCGCTCTACACCGGTGCACCTCCACAAGGCGGCCCAGGCTACTCGTTCAAGCAAACCCCCACAACTGTCCCATCCGGCGAGCGGCAACATGGTTTCTACCCGTACGTACGCCCAGAGATACTTATACCACATTGTTTTGACAAGTCTACAGATACACCGACAACGGCGGCTCAACGCTAGGCATCTCGGGAGCCGACTTCGCCATCCTTGCCGGCGACACACGCTCGACATCCGGCTACAACATCAACACACGCTACGCACCCAAGCTCTTCAAGATCGGCGGCGAAGGTTCCGACAACAAGGGCGCCAGGATAGTCCTCTCAGTCGTCGGCTTCGCAGCCGACGCCCACGCCCTCAAGGAACGCCTCGACACCATCGTCAAGATGTACAAGTACCAGCACGGCAAACCCATGACCGTCTCGGCATGTGCCCAACGACTCAGCCACATTCTCTACAACAAGCGCTTCTTCCCTTACTACGTACACGCTATCCTCGGTGGTCTGGACGAAGACGGCAAGGGCGCCCTTTACTCGTACGACCCCGTCGGTAGCTACGAGCGCGAGCAATGTAGGGCAGCCGGTGCGGCTGCATCCCTCATCATGCCCTTCTTGGACAACCAGGTCAACTTCAAGAACATGTACGAGCCCGGTAGCGGAGTGGGCCACGAGCTCAAGTCGAAACAAGCAGAGCCATTGCCTAGGGACCATGTAGAGGATCTGGTGCGAGACGCTTTTACGAGCGCCGTGGAGAGACACATTGAGGTTGGTGATGGGCTGCAGATGATGATTATCACAAAGGAGGGCATAGCTGAGACTTACACCCCACTTAAGAGGGACTAAGGCCGAGGTTTTATGGGTGTGGAGGGGGGTTATATTCACGAACATGATGACTTTAAGAGTGCAGAGCAACATGTATGAATAAACATAGCACTTTGCTACTTTAGATGATGATCAGGACCCTAGTCTTTCTACTACCAATTACAAGGCTGGTTCAGTACCACTTGGCTCCAACCTTTCTGACGACTCGCGTGGTTTCTTTATATTCTTAAGGTCGTTTAGTGTAGTTACTCACTGCGAACAAAGACCTTTGTGACATATCCATCTATTCTAGGGATTTATTCAAACAGATGCATTAAGTTTGCTAAGCAAATGTGTAGACACATCATTTGCATGTAGACTAGCGGGACAGCTCCACTTCTTGCTAATAAAACACTTGATTATATAGTAAGTTTATTGCAAGACATCATAATTTAGACACGAATACCGAGAAGCACAAGACTATACGAGACGAGTATTACACAATTGGTATATCATTTCATTCCATTTCGTACATATGATTGTCCTCCGACATCAAATTCTATTATTCATAGCGATTTTGTTTTCCCTAGGACGCGCAAAGGTTCATCCTAGTCACACTCTGCACATGACACGCTTACAGGTTAATGGCAGTCCTGAAGTTGTTGCCAGCATAGATGGCATTGTCACCAAGCTCCTCCTCGATACGGAGAATCTGGTTGAGCTTGGCGAGACGCTCAGATCGAGCTGGCGCACCAGTCTTGATCTGACCAGCTCGCAGACCGACGACAATGTCGGCAATGGTGACATCTTCAGTCTCACCGGAGCGGTGGGAGACCATGACGCCCCAGCCGGCACCGAAAGCATCCTTGGCAGCCTGGATGGCCTCGGTGATGGTACCGATCTGGTTAACCTTGAGGAGAAGGGCGTTGCAGGACTTGAGCTCAATGGCCTTCTTGATGAACTCGGGGTTGGTGACAGTCAGATCGTCACCGACAATCTGGAAGTCAGAAGTCTTGAAGAAGTAAGACCAGGCCTCCCAGTCATCCTCAGCGAAGGGGTCCTCGATGCTGACAATGGGGTACTTCTCGGCCAGAGACTTGTACAGCTCGGCGAGTTGCTCGTATGTGAGCCACTTGCTCTTGTCGCTGTCGGGGTTCTTGAAGTCGAGGTCGTACTTCTTCTCGTCGGCCTTGTAGAACTCGCTGGATGCAACATCCATGGCAATCTTGATCTTGCCAGTGTAACCAGCCTCCTCAATGGCCTTGGTGATGAGGTCAAGGGCCTCCTCAGGGGTCTGAATATCGGGGGCAACACCACCCTCGTCACCAACGTTTCCGGCAGATTGGCCGTAAGTCTTCTTGGCAAGGGACTTGAGCTTCTGGTAGACTTCGGCACCTTGGCGCATAGCCTCGGAGAAGGTAGGAGCCTCACTGAAGGGCATTAGCCAGGTCTATGCATACACGCATTGCAGTGAGCTTACCTTGGGACGATCATGAATTCTTGGAAAGCAAGACGACCACCGGCGTGCGAGCCACCGTTGAGAACGTTTTGGACTACTTTGTCAGCTAAAGAATCTCCAGTCAGACTCGAAGAACTTACAGGGTACGGGAAGGACGTAAGGCTTCTTGGTGCCGGCCAAGTCGGAGATGTGTGCGTAGAGGGGGACACCCTTCTCGGCAGCAGCGGCCTTTGCGATGGCCATTGAGACACCGAGGATGGCGTTAGCGCCGAGGTTGGTCTTGTTCTTGGTGCCATCGAGCTTGTTGAGGAAAGCATCTACGGCAGATTGGTCCTTGACGTCGAGCTTCTCCTTGATGAGGGCGGGGGCAATGGTGTCGTTGACGTTGGCAACAGCCTTGGTGACACCCTTGCCACCCCACTTTGACTTGTCGCCATCGCGGAGTTCGCAGGCCTCGTGGGAGCCGGTCGAGGCACCAGAGGGGACAATGGCACGGTGAAGACCAGTCTCGGTGACAATGTCGACCTCGACGGTGGGGTTACCCTTTGGGAGAGTTAGTGATGGGGCTGGGTTGGGGGGGCGTGGCGTGATCATACGCGGGAGTCGTAGACAGAGCGGGCGTGGATCTTGGTGATGGCCATGGTGACTGCAATGCTGATGGTAAGTTAATTGATGAGACTGGAGAGGCAGAGGGACGGAGCAGAAGATAAGTAGAGAGGACGGATGCGCGGGTCACAAGGTCCGGCCGCGGATAAGACGTGGAGCAGAAATTTCGACTTACTAGGAGTATGTGAAAGCTCAGGTCGGTGTTGTTTTGTTTGGGTGGGGTGTTCCAGAGCTTATAAGGCCGGCAAGGTTTGGAGGGGTCGTTGAGTAGATTCAGCCCCGCTATGACGCTGCCGCCTCATTGGCAGCCACGGCCTCTCTCGTAAGAGCATGCAGCAACATTATCGCAGAAGCCATCGAGGGGGGAGAGCCGCGCAGGCATCCCGTGGAAAGCAATGGAATCTACCCGGCAGAGACCCATTGAGAGCCTCCCGGTGAAGATTGATGCACGGGAGATCGCCTCGCTTACCTATGTCTAGCTTGCCGTGCTGTGCTCCATACTCGGGAGGACATGGCTGAACCTATGCTGACATGTTGGCACCATGCCGTCTCTCAATGGCTATGCATGGGTATGGACTAGGCTTGCAAATGGGTTCCAGCCTTCTTGGTATCGTGAAACTTTGTCACCTCTGTTTATAACGCAGGCTAAGGCGAGTCCAAGGGGCGCCAAGGCAGTTGTCCGGTGAGGCTGTTTGACTGCTTCACATCTCACACTGGAAGAAGTGGAGCCGGCATGAGATTGCTTTTTAAGAGTCGGAAGATCCATGGTTAGATAGGCACGGCGGCTGAAACGGGCTCTTAATCAACGGTTTGGAAACACGAATGCCCTCTTCAGCATGGCGGAGATCCACACATATCAAACCTTGCTTCTATGGCTTGCTGCATAGGCAGAGCAAGGCTGCTTCCATGGAGCATGACGGGGAAATCTAGACTATGGGTTAGAAGCTGAGTTGTGTATCGAGAGCTTAGAGACTGAGCTTTCGAAGGCATGAAGACTTTCTTCATGGAGGGAGCAATGGCTCTCAGGTACTGTAGAGCTCACAATATGCCAAGAGATTACGTGGCCCAAGCTCCCGCGGTGTAGCCTGCGCGTCAATCACAGGTACCTCTATTCGCGTATGTCCCCCTCCAGCATCCAGACCCGTCGAAACCCCTCCAGGCTGTACAGGCACAATCTCTCCAGGACCACAACCATCAGCCTCAAAAGCCAACCAAATCAGCAGCCATGGAAGTCCTACTAGGTATCACGGGCAAGGACTTTACCCTCATTGCCGCCTCCAAAGCCGCCATGCGAGGCGCCACCATCCTCAAAGCCTCGGACGACAAGACCAGGGAACTCAACAAGCACACCCTAATGGCCTTTTCCGGTGAAGCAGGAGACACTGTTCAATTTGCCGAGTTCATCCAAGCAAATGTACAGCTATACTCGATGCGTAACAACATGGAGCTGTCACCAGCGGCAACGGCCAACTTCGTCCGGGGAGAGCTAGCATCAGCACTGAGGTCACGGAAACCCTACACAGTCAATCTGCTGCTGGGCGGCTATGACACGATTGCGGACAAGCCTACATTATACTGGATTGACTACCTTGCGAGTCAAGCAGCGCTTCCTTATGCGGCACATGGCTATGCTCAGTATGCTATACCCTCTCCGACGGAAACTGAATGACGCTAACACATGGGCTTCAGGTACTACTGTCTCTCTCTGCTCGACAAGCACCACCACCCAGACATTGACTACGAGCAAGGCCTGAAGATTATGCGGATGTGCACCGAGGAGCTGAAGCGCCGTCTACCTGTCGATTTCAAGGGCGTAATGGTCAAGGCCATAACAAAGGATGGCATCAAGGATGTAGAGTTTGAGGATGATGTGAAGGTGGTGATCCCATAGAGGCCGTAGTCGGCTTGGTGGGGGCTACAACACTTTACAGCATGTATAAAGTCGGTAGCCGGCATGGAAAAGGCACCGGGAATGATGACCACGTTCATGAATCAAGGCATCGAAGAAGTGCCATCAACTAATGACAATGATACATTACGAAATTGGCTTTGTCAAGTGGTGGGTTGATGTGTTTGTAATCTGACCCGTGGCGGGAAGGCCTCTGTCCAGCAATTATCGGACTTGGCTAGTCTGTGATGATGCTTCTTATTGCAACCAGGCTTGTGTGGTCCCGACGCCTTCGCATCGAACCGCGGAGCATCAGATATAACCCCCACGCAGCGGTGAAGATACCCATGTATTCCACGGCCGCAAAGCGCCATGTTACGTGGGGGGCACAGCGCCTCAATGCAAATATGACTGCAGCATCACTTGACAAAAGCACGCGTGCAGAAAAGTAGGTATGTTCTCCCAATAAATCGACACCGACATCTCATCGCCATCACTGAAGACGACCCAACGAGATGCCAGCTTCCTACAGGAGGTTCGCTCTTCGATCCCACGCCACCGTAGTGGCTGGCAACTAAAAGACAAAGATGTTCTGATAGTCGTGGCTGGAATCGTTTGTATTTTTTTGATCAAAGAGCGAGAAAGGAGGACGAGGGCCGCAGAGGTTTTAAACTGTGTGATTGCCAAGACTTTGGCGCACGGTGCACATCAGATTTTTTGGCTGTGCACGGGCGTTTGTGACAATGGCTGGTTGGTGAGGGCGAGGCTGGGAACCACAACTACTGGATGCATTTGTGATCTCGCGACGGCCTTCATTTTCTAGCATCCAATACACCATTCTCACACTCTTCACAACCGAAATGAAGAAGCAATGTGCGCCGAAAAAGGTGCCAGCGGTAGAGTCCCCGAACGCCGGCTTCATGTTGTAATGATCACTCTCCGCGGATTCCTCAAACACAACGAGAACCCCGAGGATCAAGACAATAAATGACCTTGAAGGCACCAATCGTTGCGGAAACAGCATGGCCATCTTCATCTGCACATGGTGATACTACCTAGCCACCTACGAACTCAAGCCACATACCACAGTGCACACATTGAAGACGCCATTTTCAGAAGTCAAAGTTTTTTTCATTTATGGAGATGGCTAGTGGGGATGGAGCATATTGCGATCCATCAAGGATAATGACAGTATCACCGCTCAGAAGAACTACATGGTTCTCCTCCACCGCCGGACATGTGCTTGCCTAGTCGGACTTATTCGCAACAATGTCGTTGTTTAGTTCTTGTAACCGTTCTCGTATCCGTTCACCATGACCTCCTGCAGACCCTGAGGAATACCATTGGCATGGCCCTTGGCAGTGCCGTTGACGGCACCGTTGCTCAAACCATTCATCACCTTCTTGGATTCGTTCATGGCCTCCTCAATAGGCTTGTCGTTCACGGTGTATCCAGTGTCGGATGCGTCGACATACGCATCGAGACCAGCACCCTGGCGAGGGTACTCCTTCATCAGCTCCTTGTGTCGTCGTAGAGCCTTGTTCATCTCCTCAGCAGAGACGTCGTTGAGGAAGACACAAGTACCAATGGGGTTTGGTACGGCAGCACGAAGCAGGCCATCACGGGTCTTGAGGATGGCCTTGGTGGCCTTGTCGAGCATCTCCTCGTCAAAGAGCTCGTGGTCCATGGATAGACCCGCCCTGGAGAACAGATTCAACAACCTCTTGTGCTCCTCGTCACTGAGGAGACCACGCTCGTTAGCCAACGTGGCAGAGTACGCCATGTCAATGGAAATGGCATGACCATGACGGAGCGGTACCTTGGGAGAGAGCTACGAGAATGTCAGTGATGTTCGCAGCTAAGTATCACGACAAACTTACCTCGTGTAGAGGACTCCAGGTGTGACCGTAGGCAATGACACGGTCGAGGCCAATCTCGTGAAGGTTGGGTGTCTCGAGCTTCAGCATCTCGTGGATACCAGCACGATTGATCTCATCAGCTGCCTGAAGGACCTCCTTGTCATCACCCTCACGGCCGAAGCGGGAAGTGATCAACTTCTCGCAGTACTTGTCCAGCAAGTCAAATGTTGGCTTGTGAGCACATGTTGAAATCTTAATCAACTCTGCGAAGCCGTTGCGTACCTGACCCTCAGGCAGCGTCTTGAGGAACGAAAAGTCCAAGAAGGTGTGCATAGGAGCGTGGTACGCTCCCAGGCGGTTCTTGTAGTTGCCATAGTTGACTGCGACCTTGATGCTAACACTAGCATCGATCAGGCCAATGACGGTAGTGGGAATGCGGATGAAGTTTGTGTTCCTGCGGTAGGCGGCACAAGCAAATCTAGGGTTACGAGTTAATCCTGTTCTTCATACGCAGTCAGGCCAGAGTGCCTTAGAGTTATATTTTACCCAGCAACATCAGTCACTAATCCTCCACCCTATTTCGCATTAGCATCCACGGAGAGCAGGCGAACTGACTGAACAACTTACGACTACAAGCACCGGCTCCTTGCGGATAATACCAAAGTCAGTCATCGAGTCAACGATGCTGAGAAGGGTCTCCATTGACTTGGCCTTCTCGCCAATCATGGTCTTGTGGATGGTCAATGGCAGGTTGTAGTGGTCAAAGTACTTTTGCATCTCATCACCATAGATGTTGAAGATGTTCAAGTCCATGACAGCCAGACAACGACCCCAACGCTCATAGCACTTGGCCAGGTTGTTGTTGGCGGGGTTGAAGACGCCATCGAGGAAGGTGAAGTCATATTCAATCTTCTCGTAGCCCTCGACATGGAAGCCGTTCTGGGTCTCGACAACAGAAGCCTTGAGATCTGACATTTTGAAAAAAGATTGGAAAATTGTGGATGAGAAAAGTTGAGTTCTGCAGGATGGAGGTACCGAGACATGTGCTCTATATACATTTTACGAGACCAGTGTCATTGATGAGCACTGGCACATCTCTCGCTACACGCTCCTCGATTATTGGCTCGTAGCCCTCGAGAGCGACCAGGAAACGTCAAGCACACGCACCACTATCGTCCATGATGTGGCCTTTCATGGGTCCCGTGTTGTTTCGACTTGGTACGGGATTACTAGGAGACAAACTAGGCTCTTACTGGCCAGCAATGATGATATGACTCCGGGGAGGTTGACTTTGGTAGCGGCAGAAACCGGCTCTTGCACATGGGATATGACATTTGCCCATGCAAACATGTGCTTTTGCATGCTCGGAGAAACGCAGAACCCTAGTAACCACTATCGACCAGGGACAGAAGTGGCGTAGCACGAGCTGCTAGCCGATTTGGTGCAAAGACGGAGTCTCACCCGGTTGTGGAGGAAATACACTACGACTGCGGGGCAAGCACAGAAAATCACCTCATACCCACTATATTTCATGCATTGAACGGTGGCTGACGGTCTAGGGATATGTTGAGGGTGATCAGAGGTGCGGGCAGTACGTCCAGCGAGTCCCACGCGGCTACTATGAGCAGTTAGGGCATACAGGAAACCACCGGTACCATAAGAATGGGGATTTCGACATGACAATTCCACGCACGCTTGCTGTATACATGAAAGAATCGTGACGACCTTAGGCTGGTTTTCGATCTTAGCTCCCGCTTCGGGTAGATAAAGTTTTGCGGATCCCAAGATCGTTGAGTTATTTAACTCTGAATCGACAAGCGTAACTTGTCACGGCTGTACTCTGCCAGCTATAACAGGCTAGTAAAGGCTACCGGGCTCTAGATCGTTGACGACAACAGGTATATATACAAAAGTGAAACGTCAACACCGCGCAGAAGCAGATATGCACCAGTCAAGCGGCCCATCATGGCACCAAGTATCCACATGGTACCGCGTACTACTTGCCGTAGTCAGTGCCAAGGGGGCACACTGGATGCACACACGGCTTGGGGCCACCAAACTGGCATGATCCAACGTCCCCGCTACATTGGCATCCCACGCGCAATACGGGGTTTCGGCAGTAAAAGCAATACGGCAGGTGCTTATTGTGGCAACCCGTTGGTAATACCCTAACATAACCGATGACACCTTGTGCTTTTGCCACCGCAGGGGGTGGTTCTGTAGGTTGCGTACTAAACGTGTGGAGCGAACTGCAGACCCCTCAACTATCTCACATGTTCCTGCATTGCATTTCGTCATGATTAGCACCAGCCCCGCACTAGGGTCTACGCGTTGAGGGGCATAGACACCTCCAGACGCGTCGAGTGTGACAAGCCACTGATACATTTTTATTTCGCCATTGAACAGCAGCAATCATGGGTAGCTTCGACCAGAGCAAAGCGTACGCAGCACAAGAGGAAAAGGGTGCTTTTTTTGACGATGGACGGGAGATTGAGCTGCTGCACTTTGTTTACTCACACCCCAACATTGACAAGATACGAGGCTCACCAGAGGGCGTCCTAGCCGCCATTGATGAATATGGGCGAACAAAGAAGTATCTTATGAATGTTGGAGAGGACAAGGGCCGCATTGTCACTGATCTCATTGCAGAGGTCAAGCCAAAAACCATGGTATGCAAGTCTCGAGGAACAAGACCATTTTCTAACAGCAAGCAGATCGAACTCGGCGGTTACGTGGGCTACTCGTGTATCCTCTTCGCAGACGCAGTACGCAAAGCTGGCGGTGAGCGATACTTTAGCTTCGAGCGTGATCCTGCATTCGCGGCAGTCATCATGTCCCTCGTCGACCTCGCAGGGCTCAGTGACCTCGTAAAGGTGGTTGTGGGCTCGAGCGACGAGGGAATTGCACGTCTGGTAGCATCGGGCCAGCTCAAGCATGTGGATCTCATGTTCCTTGACCACTACAAGCCAGCCTACACGACAGATCTCAAGCTTTGTGAAGAACTTGGGCTGATCACTAAAGGCTCAGTGCTCGCTGCAGACAATGTCATTAAGCCCGGAAATCCGCCGTACTTGAAGTACGTCAGATCGAGCGTCGAGGAGAAGGTCAAGGAGGCTGGAGAGGGCGGCCAGACGAACCTCAATGGTATTGCTGAGACGAATGTCAAGATGTACGAGAAGCGATATGGCAAGGCCAAGTTCAGTGAAAGCAGAGGCAACCCGCATCTGCAGTACGAGAGTAAGCTGATCAACAGCTTTGAGCCGACAGGCGTACCTGTAAGTCTAGACTCTTGACCAGCTCCGTGGCCGAGTGCTGAACATGACAGGACGGGATCGAGATTACGCGATGCGTTGGGTAGGAATGCGTGAGAATAGAGAGATATGGGCGGCACAGTTGGATCACTAGGGGTCAGGGGCGGATGTGAAGTCCGGGGACCGGCAGCAAGGAGGGGGGAGGGATATTCAATACGGGTCCAGCTACAAGAGTGAATGTGATCAAACATGCAATCCTCCTTGCTGATGACGGAGCTCGAGAGGGATGCCAACGCCACCTCGGAATGCAATGCAGTGACTATGCAGTAGGTGGTCAGTCACAAAGAAGCAAATACGCGACACAGCAGGGATGAGGATCTACGCGATGTCTACTCTGCTGAATCTCGTACGGAACCACCGGTGTCTAGCGCTGCCGCGCATGTCGTACGCGCATATTGTCCACGGGCCAAATAACGATGACGTTTAGACTAGTCGACCACCCATATCTTTCGCCGTGCGCCTGCGCCCGTCTGCCCCACGCATCTCGACCACCTCGTATGTAAGGTGTACTGACATGCACGCGCGGCAAGCATTATACCGAGCCGTCTGAGCCGCTAGCATTCATTACTTGCAGCTTGCAGTCTGCGCGTGGACGAATCCCACTGGTCGGTGCGCCTGGGATCAAAGTAAGCCCGTGAGGGTGTGTTGGGACCTGTCTGAACGGTGAAGCACTGCGAGCACAAGTGCCGAGGTCACGAGCTCCAACATCCAGCATCCCAACCCCAGAAACATGGCCAAAGGCATCGAGCCTGATGCTGCTGTGCCGTTCTACTACCGCCATGTAGGCAAGAATGTGCTGCTGCTGGCGCTGAGCGCGCTGCTTGCTCCTCTCTCGGCCGCTTTGGTCCTGCTGGGGCTTGCTGTGACGAAGCTTCACGGAGAGCGCACTGCAACATTCACCAGAGAGGACAGGAGACATGTTGCAGCAACTCGGAGGCGCAAGACGATTCTCGTCACGGGCGTGTCCATGACAAAGGGCTTGACTATTGCTCGAAATTTGGCCCAGCATACACCGCATCGCATCATTGGTGCCGACATATCCGCTCTCTCTCCAGGCCGATTCTCAACCGCAATATCAAAGTACTTTCGTCTGCAGACACCCATTGGCGACGATGCGGAGCCATACATCGACTCCCTCCTCTCCGTTATCCAGAACGAAAAGGTCGACTTGTGGATCTCCTGTTCCAGTGTCATTGCAGCAGTCGAAGACGGACAAGTCGTTCGTCTAGCAGAGATACAAGCACGAGAGCGTGGACGTCCGTTTGAAGCCATTCAGTTCCGTGAAGATGTCGTTGAAAAGTTTCACGAAAAAGACAAGTTCATTGACTACATTGAGTCACTCGGTCTCCCGGTTCCGGAATCCCATCGCTGCACAGACGCAAACGAAGCACTCGATGTGCTCATGAGAGAACTGCACAGAACCCCTACAAAAGGAAAAAAAGATAGCCGCCGAAAATTCATCATGAAACCAATTGGCGTAGACGACAAAGCCAGGAACAACATGATGACTTTGCTCCCTTTCCAGACGACAACCGCAACAGCCGACTACATCCACTCGCTCAATATCAGCAAAGACAACCCCTTCCAGCTCCAGCAATACATCAAAGGAAACGAATACTGCACCCATGCCCTCGTCAACCGTGGAAAAGTAAAAGCCTTCACCAGCTGCCCCAGTCTTGAGCTCCTCATGCATTACGAAGCACTCCCCCCGTCCTCCCCTCTCAGCCAAAAAATGCTCGCCTTCACCGAGCGTGTCTGCGCAGATGGCGGCCAAAACTTTACCGGCCACTTGAGTTTCGACTTCCTCGTCGAAAACGACGACCAAGGCGCCGACGCAAAATTCTACCCCATCGAGTCCAACCCACGTGCTCATACCGCGGTCGTCTTATTCGAACAAACACCCGAACTGGCAGATGCATATCTCTCTATCTTCAATAACTCACTTTCTTCTTCAAAACCAGACGCAACTCCAGTCTTTCCTCGTACACCCACAAAATCTTACTACTGGCTCGGTCACGACCTCGTCGCCCTGGCTATCCTACCTCTGCTTGACACCCTCTTCGGTGCCAAATCCGTACAACACGCACTCGCGGATTTATTGACCTTCGTCAAACATGTTGCTGCGTGGAAAGACGGGACCTACACGTTTGAAGACCCACTACCGTTTTTCGTGCTATATCACGTTTATTGGCCCAGTAAGTTTCTGACCGCGTTGAGGGTGGGCAAGGTGTGGAGTCGGATTAATGTTAGTACGACTAAGATGTTTGAGGGGTAGGGTTGGGTTGGGTGAGATTGTACGACGTGTGAGATTATACGGCGGATGAGATTATACGACGGGCTGGGGCGATGAAGACACGTGAGATCATACGAAGAACGAGGTTTGGCATATGGGGATTGGGATAGAGGATGATGAATTTCACCTTACGTAATTTACACACTCGGATTAATAGCAACTATAGCAATAGCACACAATATAACGCATTTTGTTTCGTAATCTGCAATGTTGAACCTACCTATAGCGTACCTTTGTATTGCTATTCTATGTAAAACAAACTAGCACCCCTCGGACGGTTTTAAACTCTCCTCAACGCATGAATTATCACATACCCCCGCAATTTCACCCTAGATTGTTATAATAACTGACCGTGTGATATCGAGGTCGGAGATATGTGACGATATCAGCGTATGCTAAGTCTGTGCTTGTGAGAAGCAAGAAAAGAGAGAATGTCACTGTATATGCAATAGGGATATAACGTGTACGTAAGCGAAAAAAAAAGAGAGAGAGAGAGTCCAAGGAATTCATAGCAGATAGTGGGAAGAAAGAAAGGAAGAAAGAAAGAAAGAATGGATGTGGTAATATTTTCGCATTTCCTAGTTATATTCTCAATCCGAGAAAGAAAAAAAAACCCCCGCTCCCTCCCCCCGAAAAAGAGAGCAGAACCGAAAAGAACAGAATCTTCAAAAAAAATCACCAAATGATTCCCCTCCAATCAAACGAGCCATCGATATTCCTCCATTTGTTGCCTTCAATTGCATCCGCCCAGCCCATCATGACGGCCAAAAGGCGGCAGCTCACACTGCTCATTGTACAAATCACCGTATCTGCTTTCCCCAGCACGGCGAGATCAAGTAGATAGGCGCGTCCCACCAACTCTCTCAGTTTCATCGCAGATTCCGGAACATCGGAGGCAGGGTTCTTGGTGAATTCCTTCATATCTTTCGCGTTGCCCACGGGTTGACCGAGGGAAAAGAAGACGTCGCGGTAGAAACCGCCTTCCCAACCGGTAACCTCGTCGATCCAAGCGTTCTTCTTGGGTTCCTTTTGTGCGGCTTCGAGTTGCTGTTTGGTAGCGAGGACGATGCGGTCTTGGGCGCGGACGCTGTTTGGACCGAGTTCGGGCGAGTCGTAGACGAGGGGGTCGTCGGAGGCGAGGATCATTTTGGAGGATGTGTGGCGGGGGGTCAGGGGATGCGTGTTGGAGCGCTTTTTGGAGCGGATAGATTCGCCTTCGACGATTTCAATGTACAGGTCGCGAGCGGTTTCGATGTAGCGGGCGAGGGGGATGTAGTCTTTTGCGTATTGGTATTCCATGGGGTGTTTGTCGCCGTGGCGGACGTGCATGCCGATGCTGAGGCCGCCCTCGAGTTTGACGGCGCCGTACATGTCGTGGGATTTTTGGAGCACGTAGGCTTCGTCGTCTGACCGGAGCTTGAAGAGGGCTTCGTAGCCGGTGCGGGCGAGGGCGAAGATTTTGGATTGGCGGAATACACCCATTTTTCTTGCGTCTTCGTATTGCTCAGTGAAGGCATGGCCAAAGGTGCTCCTCACGGTTGCATCGCTGACGACAAGGTGGTTCGCGGAGTGGGGGCAAGGGACGATGTGTGACGGCGGGGGAGGAAGGCAGCCTGCAGAGGGTGGAGGTTGGAAGTATGTCGAGTATTTGCCGTAGGGCCTAGTTCACTGTTAGTCGAAGAAATGTTTTTGCAAGTGCACTGAGCATACCAGCGAGAGTCATCGATGAAAAAGGCACGGTTCTCAGTCTTTGCCAGACCATACGACATCCACAACCGCATCAGTGTATTTCCAAACCCAGCATCTCCAGTCTCCATGACGTAGGTCAAGCTCCTTTCACAGACCTTGAGCCCCTCTGTTGAAGCCCCATCCTTCATAGCCTGATCCTCGACAAAGTTCTTGGGCCTTCCCTTTGACTTGGCAGGTGGCAACAGTGCCTGTTCCTCCGCCTCTTTGATATCAATGTAGTACTGATCTTTTTGGTTATAGGGCACCATCCTCCTAGCATGACTCGCTGATTTCTTCGGCCCCTGACTGACTTCCTTGGACACTTCCATTGCCTGGTGGCATATCTCGCGATACTGCGCTGGCTGCAGCGGGAAATCATAAGTTGACGGAATCGACACAGTCCACCTCATTTTGCCCTTTGCATCTATGAGCGCAACAGCAGAAGGCTCGTGTGGCAACCGGCTACCACCGACCATTTCCCACTCATCCTCGACCTCGTCGTCATAAGGCGTTGCATAATGCGAGTTCGTGTAGATGTGCCTTAGCACGATCCATAGAAGAAAAGCCACGCCACAGCATCCCAAAAGTATCCTCCTTACAAACTTGCCATGGTTCGGGTGCGGGACCTTTCCATGTTTGGGTAGCAGGCTCGGAAGGCTCGGGCTGGCGGGGGGAGATCTCGCAAGTAGTCCGCGCCGGGAGGGGAGTGTCGGAGAGAGAAAAGCGCTAGATGTAGCCGAATGAGGTGGGGGTTCCAGTTGCGAATATTGCGCTGTCGGCTGCAAGGATAGACCAGGGTTCCGTCTCGCATGCATCTTTGTGATTTTTTGGGTGACTTGGTTCAGCATAATGAGAAGCAGAGAGATATGATGTCGTCAGCACCTCAGACAATTCGATTCGTGACTAGGGTGGAAATGCGAAAATCCGGCCAAATCGGGCGACTTGCTGGCCGTGCGTGTCGTACCACTCGGATGACGCAGGAAGCTATTGCAGCGAAGTACAATGAGTTGCTCGTAATAAGCAGGA